TCGTCATGGTAAATGCCCATTGTAACATATTGCTAATGGACAGTGTCCATTTGCCATATGATATATTGCCAGTGCCAATATGTTATACTGGACATATTGGCAGTGGCAATATATCATATGGCAAATGGACCCTGTCCATTTCCAATATGTTTAAGCAGTGATTTACCATCACCAAATGGACAGGCTGAAATCAACACAAACGAGCGAGGGAGAGGAACCACTATCACTGCTAGGCCATCCCGAGTTCAACGAGCCTGAAAATTGGGCATTTCAGCAATGTAACAGTATGTCCAATTCGTGATGGTAAATTCCCATTGTAATCCATTACACATAATACATTGACAGTCTTAACATGTTATGATGGACACTGTCCATGTTCAATATGTTTAAGCATTGATTTACCATCACCAAATGGACAGGCTGAACTCAACACCAACAAGTGAGGGAGAGGAACCACTATGTCTGTTTGACTCATACTGTATATTGTTAATGGACTTTTTGTCCATTGGCAATAAATTACTCTGCTAATTGGACAGTCCAATGCTGGCACCACACGGCCCTTCAGCTCAGTGCGGATGTTGCCTGTAATCCATGGCTTCTGGTTGGGGAATGCACATACTGTCACTGTTGGGACGACGTCATCGATGCACTCACTGATGATGCCAGTGACTGATGTGGTGTACTCCTCAATGCCATCGTAAGAATCCTGGAACATATTCCAGTCTGTGCTATCAAAACAGTCCTGTAGCTTAGCACCTGTGTCATCTGACCCCTTCCTTATTAACCGAGTCACTGGTGCTTCCTGCTTTAGTTTTTGTTTATAAGCAGGAACCAGGAGGATAGAATTATGGTCAGATTTGACAAATGGAGGCCGAGGGAGAGCTTTGTACGCTTCTCTGTGTGTTGAGTAAAGGTGGTCTGGAGTTTTTTTCCCCTCTGGTTGCACGTTTAACATGCTGGTAGAAATGAGGTAGAACGGATGTAAGTTTCCCTGCATTAAAGTCCCCGGCCACTAGGAGCGCTGCCTCTGGATGAGTGTTTTCCTGTTTGCTTATGGCCTTATACAGCTCATATAGTGCAGTCTTAGTGCCAGCATCGGTTTGTGGTGGTAAATAGACAGCTACGAAAAATATAGATGAAAACTCTCTTGGTAAATAGTGTGGTCTACAGCTTATCATGAGATACTCTACCTCAGGTGAGCAAAACCTTGAGACTTCCTTAATATTAGATTTTGTGCACCAGCTGTTGTTTACATATATACACAGACCACCATCCCTTGTCTTACCAGAGTCAGCCGTTCTATCCTGCCGATGTAGCATATATCCCACCAGCTGTATGTTATCCATGTCGTCGTTCAGCCACGACTCTGTTGGTAGGATACAGTTGGTATTTTTTTTCCAATGATTGTACGTTGGCTAATAGGACTGATGGAAGAGGCAGATTACTCGCTTGCCGTTGGCTAATAGAACTGATGGAAGAGGCAGATTACTTGCTTGCCTTCGGATCCATACAAGGCACCCCTACCTACGTCTACGATATCTCCGTCTCTTTCTCAATGTAATGACGCGTATTTGGGCCTTGTCGGGTGTCTGTAGAATATTGTTTGCGTCCGACTCGTTGAAGAAAAAGTCTTAGTCCAATACGAGGTGAGTAATCGCTCTCCTGATATCCAGAAGCTCTTTTTGGTCATAAGAGACAGTGGCAGAAACATTATGTACAGAATAAATTACAAATAACGCGAAAAAACACACATAATAGCACAGTTGGTTAGGGGGTTGTAAAACGGCAGCCATCTCTTCCGGCGCCATCTTTTTTGTTTGTTTGTGTGTGTATGCTACTTCGTCTAGTATCGTTATTCATTGCTACAAGTGTGTTTACTGAGTGCGACTAGCCTACTCATTGGTATATATTAGCAATGTTTTGTATTACTTGCATGCCCCCGCTGCAATATGTTTATATTATATGCATGCTACCGCTGCAGTATGTTTATATCTGCAATATGTCTCTTGTGTTACTTGTATAGTAGCTGGTGTCATTCTACAGATTCTAGAAGTTTCCAGAATGTTGTAGCTCTTTCTGTGCGCCAGCACATGTGCAGTAGACCTAAGTTAAGATCTCAGCCAGGCCACAGAGATAGCCATAAAGCTCCATGACCTTAGGCCTTCTATTTCTGTCTCTCTGGCCATGTTTATTCTTCGAGGATGTCTAGGTGCTATACTATTGTATTCATTCATAGGTGTATATTATTCCACAGTTTGCTCATCTGCTTCTTGTTATATTGCATGTGTATATTTATCTTAGTATCTTCTAATGGATACTGATGATTGTATTGTTTCCCCTTTTAGAACCATACAACAATATAAATAACTTTTAATGGAATCAGCTGTGTGGAGTGTTCAGCATGGGCCTCAACATCATGTTCTGACTGGACAGCACTAGGGTTCGCAAAAATGCCCATTTGGCGTCTATTACCAGAATGCTAACAAAATTAGCACAAGTAATAGCGAATTTCCATGGAGGATGCTAGCTAAATATGCTAATAAACAAATTGCAAAGATCGCCAATCCAGGTCATGAAGTTATACATACAGTATATAGGTAGGAGCTACTGAATGTAATTTTTGGTGAGTTTGTACATTTACAAGGAATGTGAACGAGAGAATGTGCAAATGAACAAAGTTTTGATGCATGCTTGTCTGAAGGAAGCCCTCTGGAGCAGCATGTGTACATGCCTGGATTCTGGAGTCGCTAGGACAACGTGTCTGCCCGCTTTGCTCGGAGAAGAGGAAGGGGAGCAGACGGGCCGAGAAACGGAGAGGAGAAAAAACGCAAGGAAATCAAAAGATAGCAGTGGCAGCTGTACAGATAACTCATCCAAAGGGCTTTGACTTCTCAAACATGGCAGAAAGCTAACGCAATATGATGCTCCGTCACCTTATTAATTCAGCCACTTACTTAGATAACTAGCAAGTTCAACTTAGGGGTCGCGTAAACACAGTTTTATTCATTTTTCTAAAATATCAAACGAGAAATCTTGCTGCGTTTTGTAAACGCAAATGTTAAATTCTTATTGTAATTTCTGCTCGGCATCAGACAAATTTTGTGCTTCAGTTGCACTTCTCCACTTGGATGAGAATTCATGAACAGGGGCATTCTATCAGCAAACAACGCTCTGACTGATGTGGAGCTACTTTTCTCCAGTACTTTTCTCTTGGTTTAGCCAGCCTACTTTTCTCTGGTAAAATGTAAACAAAACATTAGGAAATGTAGCTGGATACATTCTTTCTATGATAAACATTTGAAATATTTGGCCAATATATGACTGCCAGCCAAATAGCGTTGCACTTCTATTGTCATCGGATGGAAATTAAGCTATTTTCTGCCGAATGTGATGCACTAATGTATTTTCTGTAAAGGAAAACTATAGTTGCAAAAAAACACTTGACTTTCAATATAAAATGTGACCCCTGTCAATACACAGCTGGAATCACCTGCTCCCGCTTTCTCCTGTTGTGCTAGTTACAAACAAACACGTGACTGGCTCAAATGTTCTGGGGAACTGTGGTAAGCTTAATAATGTAAAATCATGTGACGGGTGAAATGAAGAACCCAATATTCTTTATCTCCTAATGTATTGCACAAGTTGACTGCAGGTATTTATCTAAAAAGTAGCTACAAATATGACAATTTATTGAAAAACTTCAAAGAAATAGTTTTGACGGTGTTAAAAAACCATCCCGTGGCTATTTCCAAATACGGTATACCGCCCAAGCCTAGACAGCACTATAGTGGGATGATCTTAGTGAATCAGTTTAAGTGTACTAGCGGGTGAGGGTTTTCATAGCCAACCACTCAGACAAGCCCTAGCTAGCCGTTTTTTCATTATCCTAGATCTCACCAGATTTTGCGACCAAATTTTTTTTAATGGTACTTCAAGCTGGATTTAGCTATACAGTGCATTCGGAAAATATTCAGACCCCTTGAATTTTTCCACAAAACATATAAAAACTACTGAAATATCACATTTACATAAGTATTCAGACCCTTTACTCAGTACTTTATTACATTTTAGTCATTTAGCAGACACTCTTATCCAGAGAGACTTACAGGTAGTGAGTGCATACATTATAATTTTTTTCATACTGGCCCCCCGTGGGAAACGAACCCACAACCCTGGCGTTGCAAACGCCATGCTCTACCAACTGAGCTACATCCCTGCCGGCCATTCCCTCCCATACCCTGGACGACGCTAGGCCAATTGTGCGCCGCCCCATGGGTCTCCCAGTCGCGGCCGGCTACGACAGAGCCTGGATTCGAACCAGGATCTCTAGTGGCACAGCTAGCACTGCGATGCAGTGCCTTAGACCACTGCGCCACTCGGGAGACCTATTGAAGCACCTTTGGCAGCGATTACAGCCTTGAGTCTTCTTGGGTATAACGCTACAAGCTTGGCACACCTGTATTCTCCCATTCTTCTCTGCAGATCTTCTCAAGCTCTGTCAGGTTGGATGGGGTTTGCTCAGTTTGGTGGTTCCAAACTGTGTTCTTGTGGACCTTCAATGCTGCAGATATTTTTTGGTACCCTTCCCCAGATCTGTGCCTCAACACAATCCTGTCTCGGAGCTCTACGGACAATTCCTTTGACCTCTTGGCTTGGTTTTTGCTCTGACATGCACTGTCAACTGTGGGACCTTATATAGACAGGTGTGTGCTTTCCAAATCATGTCCAATCAAATGAATTTACCACAGGTGGACTCCAATCAAGTTGTAGAAACATCTCAAGGATGATCAATGGAAACAGGATACACCTGAGCTCAATTTCGAGTCTCATAGCACAGGGTCTGAATACTTATGTAAATAATTGTTGTTTTTAGTGTGCCTGTTTTCTCTCTCTCTAAACATATACTGTACATTGGGTAACATTTGTTTTGAAGAGTAGGGGTACTTACACAGATGTCATAACCCATCTATAACCCATTGTTTACCTCCCTTCCTGTTAGCTGTGACCGAGTCAACGACTGCGGGGATGGCAGCGACGAGCTGGGCTGTTCCTACGACACCTGCACCAGCTACCAGTTCACCTGCCAAAACGGCGCCTGCATCCCAGCCTCCTTTGCCTGTGACGGCGAGGCCGACTGTCTGGACGGTTCTGACGAGGCAGAGGGCTTGTGCAGCACCCCCCAGCCTACCTGTGCCCCGGGAGAGTACCTGTGCAAGTCGGGCGAGTGTATTGACATCCACAAGGTCTGCAACTCGGAGAAGGACTGCTCGGATAACAGTGATGAGAAGGGATGTGGTAAGATCTCTCTTACAGCAAAGGATGTAACACAATGGGGAAGGGGTGGATTTATTTTCTTTGAGTGAATGGAGGTTGTGTCAGTTGTACAATAGGTATGCGAATGTAACCTAACTAAATCTATGATATTTCCAGACGTACACTGTATTTGGAGTAGGAAATTAGTATTTGGAGTAGAAAATATGTATAAGGAGTAGGAAATTAGTATTTGCAGTAAAAACATTAGAATTTAGAGTAGGAAAAAGGAACTTTGATTTGGATTCCTAGACTAATCTTACAGCACATCTTAATCTTACAGAACTCATCCTGCCTCCCTCTATCTCCTTCCCTCTCTCCTCTGTGTAGGAATTAACGAATGCCAAGATCCGTCGGTCCACAAGTGTGCCCAGCTCTGCACAGACACCCTGACAGGTTACTACTGCTCGTGTAATACCGGCTACCACCTCATGCCCGATGGTAAGGCGTGCGCAGACCTGGACGAGTGCCGCGACACGCCCGCCGCCTGTAGCCAGATCTGCGAGAACTCCGCCGGCTCCTTCCACTGCAAATGCGCCCCGGGCTACGTGCGCGAGCCAGATGGGCGCACGTGCCGCCAGAACAGTGGCATCGCCCCTTATCTGCTGTACAGTAATCGTTATTACATTCGTAATTTGACGACTGATGGTTCGCAGCTGAGCGTGATTCTGCAAGGGCTGTCGAATGTGGTGCCACTGGATTTCGACCATTACGAAAAGAGGCTGTACTGGTTGGATGCGGGAATGGGGCGGATCGAGAGGATGCGATTTGACGGCAGTGAAAGGGAGACGATAGTGGATAACAACGTGGTAGGGGCCGAGGGGCTGGCGGTGGATTGGGTTGGCAGGTAAGTGAAGGGGGGGTGGGGCATCAGAGCTTGATTGTAATTTTTCAATCATTGGCCTCATGGCGATGCAGTTTCCTTAATCTCCGGCAGCTCAGTTAGGAAGGACAGGTGAGCAAAACTGTGAGTGTGAATAATTTCACGATGCACTGTATGTGTTGTGTTTAAAAGTTTAATAAATCTGTCTCATAATTCAGATTTTGATTAGAGCCTACAGTTGGCTGATAATGACACATTTGTATCTCCTTACAATTATATGTAGGTCTGTATATATAATATGTGTATCTATGCATATGCCCATAGTCATTCTTATATGTTTATGTGTGTGTATCCCAAAGGAAGCTCTACTGGGTAGACAGTTACTACGGCTCTCTTCACGTGTCAGAGCTGGATGGTCGTTTCCAGAAGAAGTTGCTGAGTGGCTGCATGGGGCCTAACTCCACCTACTGCTTTGTCCGGCCCCGTGCCGTGGCCGTCAACCCCAAATATGGGTACTAACCAGTGGAGGCTTCTGAGGAGAGGACGGCTCATAATAATGGCTGGAACGGAGCGAATGGAATGGCATCAAACACATGGAAACCATGTATTTGATACCATTCCACTGATTCCGCTCCAGCTATTACCACAAGCCCGTTCTCCCCAATTAAGGTGCCACCAACAACCTGTGGTACTAACATACACACACACACGAGGTCCCACACATCCCCACCTGCATGATAGAGGAAGAGAGGGGTCATTCTTAATTAATGGCAGATATTGAGGCGTTTTTCAATAATCCTTTTATTTGTATATATTATTATAAATTACATCTAACATCTAATTATTTTACTTTACTCTCCATTTTATTCTCTCTGCCTGCAGCTGGCTGTATTGGACAGACTGGGGGGACACCGCCTACATTGGCAGGGTTGGTATGGATGGCACCAACGCCACTGCCCTCATCACCACCAAGCTGGAGTGGCCCAGTGCCCTGACCATTGACTACACCACCAACAAGATCTTCTTCGCCGACTCCCACCTCAATTTCCTGGAGTGAGACATCAACACAACACTGTCTTCAGAGATTCAATTAATAATTCACTCTAATGCTTTTCTATGTAGTACTATTGTGCTTTATCATGAAAGTGTGAAAGTGCAGGAAAATAAGGCCTTATGACCCCATCACATCTATGCCTTGAGTATCAGGGTTGAAGGAGAACATGTTCAGTTGAAGAAAAACACACTGATGATACGTAGGTAAGAAAACCCCTAGTAGAGCAAGTCAAGGCAATGGAGGAAAACACTCTTTAGTTAGGAAGAAAGCAAGGAGCCCGGCCCCATCCTTCTCAAACATGCCTGTTTGGAGACCAGATATTGTGATCAATGAGGTCAGACAGGATCAACCCACAGAACTTTACATTGATATACACTTTGTTTGTTTATTTGGATCCCCATTAGCTGTTACAGTCGTAACAGTTACTCTTCTTGGTGTGCACAAAAAACACATTTAAAAAAACAATAGACAAGAACAAAACAAAGACAACAGAACATTACAGTGATTTATACACTAATGTATATGCCCTCTCTCTAACTCTCTAAAGTTTTGCTGATATGGACGGGGAGAACCGCCACCGGGCCATAGCAGGCTCCCTGCCTCACCCCTTTGCCATCACCCTGTTTGAAGACTGGGTCTACTGGACTGACTGGAACACCCACACCGTTGAGAAGGCCCACAAGTACACTGGCGCCAGCCGTGTCGTCATGGGCAACAACACACACCGGCCAAATGACATCCATGTATACCATCCCTACAGGCAGCCTCACAGTATGTATAGTACTGTGCCCTTTGACCTTTTGGAATTCCCATACATTGCTTGCTTAATTTTCATTTGTCTACACTTTACTGTTATACTTGTCTTTCCTGCATTTGCACTCTTATTTGTCTTTTCTTACTGGCACTGATTTTGCAGATAGCAGCTTATTTAAACAAATATTTGTACTTGCAATGACTTTATGTGGTTGTTTTCCTCTACCTTACTTGAATGCACTTACTGGATAACAGCTTTGCTAAATGTATTACATGTCAATTGAGACAATATTATTAGCATCATAGATGCGTCCATTCTTATGGCTGCTGATTGGTGTTTCCTAGGTGATAACCCTTGTGCCACACACCACCTAACCTGTAGCCACCTGTGTCTGATTGGTCCTGGTGGGACCAGCGCTACGTGTGAGTGTCCAGACCACTTCATTGGCCTTTCCGTGGGCTTCAAGATCCAGTGTGTGGCCGACTGTTCCAGCACCCAGTTCCGCTGCGGAGACAACGAGAAGTCAGTCTGAATTTCTGTCACTTATCAGGAATATTTGTTTGTTTTCCATGTAATATAATTTGAATCAGCGGTTTATTTTTGTTTGTTTTGTTTTTTTATTGTTTTTTTTATTTTTTATTTAGCAGACACTCTTATCCAGAGCGACTTACAGTTAGTGAGTGCATACATTTTCATACTGGCCCCCCGTGGGAAACGAACCCACAACCCTGGCGTTGCAAGCGCCATGCTCTACCAACCAGCTACAGATACTGACACAACCGTACAATTTACGGCTTTTCACACTACTGAGCTGAGCTAAACTAAGCTGTACTAAGCTTGCCTGAAAAGGACAATGTGAAATATTTGAGCAAGCACAGTTTGGTTCGGTAAGTGTGAAAAGGGTATTTGGAGCCATGTGACTATTTGCTTGATAACTTGTGTGGTTGCACAGTTGTCTAAATTCAATAAGTTTAATTAGTTAACTCTTTACTCTCCCACCTCCCTCTCTCCTTCTAATCCCCTAGGTGTGTCTCTATCTGGTGGAAGTGTGATGGTCAGTCCGACTGTGGTGACGGGTCCGATGAGCCCCTCACCTGCCCGCCCCGCTACTGTCCAATTGGTCAGTTCCAGTGCCAGGATGGGAACTGCACTTATCCTGGCTTCCTGTGTGACGGACACGCTGACTGCCATGACAGTTCAGATGAGGACGCTGCCCTCTGCAGTACGAAAACCCTATTTTACCTCATTTTTACCGTAGTACTTCCATCCATCAGACAATGCAGCACTTATTTTCTACTAGCGTCAGAAACCCACAGTGTGATGTGATTGTTCAACTGCTCTAGAGTCCAATTCATACACTCAAAATGCATGCTCTCGTTGCTCTATCTTCCTGTTGTAGTGTCTTTAATTGCGATTACGAACAAACATGGGGGGAAAAGGACAACCCTGTCTGATCCCTCAAGATAAACTAAAACTTTCAGAGACGTGGCCTTAGAATCAAAACACCCAATCCTCCCATCCCCTAGGTGACCACAGGTGTGCAGAGAATCAGTTCCAGTGTAAGAACAAGCAGTGCATCCCTGTGTCATGGCACTGTGACGGCATCAGCGACTGTTCTGATGGGAGTGACGAGGACACGGATGGCTGTGCCCAGAAGACGTGCCGACCGGGCCAGTTCACGTGCGCAAACGGAGTGTGTATCCCGCCCAACTATGTGTGTGACGCTCAGGACGACTGCGGAGATGGATCGGATGAGCCCTACGAGATCTGCAGTGAGTTTGCTGTATTTGTATACGTCTGGATTTTAGTTTGGTGCTAGTGTTTTATATGTTGGCTGCAATGTATGTTATATTCTGGTTATTTGACTACAAGAGCACATACAGTGGGGGAAAAAAGTATTTAGTCAGCCACCAATTGTGCAAGATCTCCCACTTAAAAAGATGAGAGAGGCCTGTAATTTTCATCATAGGTACACGTCAACTATGACAGACAAAGTGAGAAAAAGAAATCCAGAAAATCACATTGTAGGATTTTTAATGAATTTATTTGCAAATTATGGTGGAAAATAAGTATTTGGTCACCTACAAACAAGCAAGATTTCTGGCTCTCACAGACCTGTAACAACTTCTTTAAGAGGCTCCTCTGTCCTCCACTCGTTACCTGTATTAATGGCACCTGTTTGAACTTGTTATCAGTATAAAAGACACCTGTCCACAACCTCAAACAGTCACACTCCAAACTCCACTATGGCCAAGACCAAAGAGCTGTCAAAGGACACCAGAAACAAAATTGTAGACCTGCACCAGGCTGGGAAGACTGAATCTGCAATAGGTCAAATCAAAAATCAAATCAAATCAAATTTTATTGGTCACATGCGCCGAATACAACAGGTGCAGACATTACAGTGAAATGCTTACTTACAGCCCTTAACCAACAGTGCATTTATTTTAAACAAAAAAGTAAGAATAAAACATCAACAAAAAAGTGTTGAGAAAAAAAGAGCAGAAGTAAAATAAAGTGACAGTAGGGAGGCTATATATACAGTAAAATAAAGTGACAGTAGGGAGGCTATATATACAGGGGGGTACCGTTGCATAGTCAATGTGCGGGGGCACCGGCTAGTTGAGGTAGTTGAGGTAATATGTACATGTGGGTAGAGTTAAAGTGACTATGCATAAATACTTAACAGAGTAGCAGCAGCGTAAAAAGGATGGGGTGGGGGGGCAGTGCAAATAGTCCGGGTAGCCATGATTAGCTGTTCAGGAGTCTTATGGCTTGGGGGTAGAAGCTGTTGAGAAGTCTTTTGGACCTAGACTTGGCACTCCGGTACCGCTTGCCGTGCGGTAGCAGAGAGAACAGTCTATGACTAGGGTGGCTGGAGTCTTTGACAATTTTGAGGGCCTTCCTCTGACACCGCCTGGTATAGAGGTCCTGGATGGCAGGGAGCTTTGCCCCAGTGATGTACTGGGCCGTACGCACTACCCTCTGTAGTGCCTTGCGGTCAGAGGCCAAGCAGTTGCCATACCAGGCGGTGATGCAACCAGTCAGGATGCTCTCGATGGTGCAGCTGTAGAATTTTTTGAGGATCTGAGGACCCATGCCAAATCTTTTTAGTCTCCTGAGGGGGAATAGGCTTTGTCGTGCCCTCTTCACGACTGTCTTGGTGTGTTTGGACCATGATAGTTCGTTGGTGATGTGGACACCAAGGAACTTGAAGCTCTCAACCTGTTCCACTACAGCCCCGTCGATGAGAATGGGGGCGTGCTCAGTCCTCTTTTTTTTCCTGTAGTCCACAATCATCTCCTTTGTCTTGGTCACGTTGAGGGAGAGGTTGTTGTCCTGGCACCACACGGCCAGATCTCTGACCTCCTCCCTATAGGCTGTCTCATCGTTGTCGGTGATCAGGCCTACCACTGTTGTGTCGTCGGCAAACTTAATGATGGTGTTGGAGTCGTGCCTGGCCATGCAGTCATGGGTGAACAGAGAGTACAGGAGGGGACTGAGCACGCACCCCTGAGGGGCCCCCGTGTTGAGGATCAGTGTGGCAGATGTGTTGTTACCTACCCTTACCACCTGGGGGCGGCCCGTCAGGAAGTCCAGGATCCAGTTGCAGAGGGAGGTGTTTAGTCCCAGGATCCTTAGCTTAGTGATGAGCTTAGAGGGCACTATGGTGTTGAATGCTGAGCTGTAGTCAATGAATAGCATTCTCACGTAGGTGTTCCTCTTGTCCAGGTGGGAAAGGGCAGTGTGGAGTGCGATAGAGATTGCATCATCTGTGGATCTGTTGGGGCGGTATGCAAATTGGAGTGGGTCTAGGGTTTCTGGGATTATGCTGTTGATGTGAGCCATGATCAGTCTTTCAAAGCACTTCATGGCTACAGACGTCAGTGCTACGGGTCGGTAGTCATTTAGGCAGGTTATCTTAGAGTTCTTGGGCACGGGGACTATGGTGGTCTGCTTGAAACATGTTGGTATTACAGACTCAGTCAGGGACATGTTGAAAATGTCAGTGAAGACACTTGCCAGTTGGTCAGCACATGCTCGGAGTACACGTCCTGGTAATCCGTCTGGCCCTGCGGCCTTGTGAATGTTGACCTGCTTAAAAGTCTTACTCACATCGGCTACGGAGAGCGTGATCACATAGTCGTCCGGAACAGCTGGTGCTCTCATGCATGCTTCAGTGTTGCTTGCCTCGAAGCGAGCATAGAAGTGGTTTAGCTCGTCTGGTAGGCTTGTGTCACTGGGCAGCTCGCGGCTGTGCTTCCCTTTGTAGTCTGTAATAGTTTTCAAGCCCTGCCACATCCGACGAGCGTCAGAGCCAGTGTAGTATGATTCAATCTTAGACCTGTATTGACTCTTTGCCTGTTTGATGGTTCGTCGGAGGTCATAGCGGGATTTCTTATAAGCGTCCGGGTTAGAGTCCCGTTCCTTGAAAGCGGCAGCTCTACCCTTTAGCTCAGTGCGGATGTTTCCTGTAATCCATGGCTTCTGGTTGGGGTATGTACGTACGGTCACTGTGGGGACGACATCATCGATGCACTTATTGATGAAGCCAGTGACTGATGTGGTGTACTCCTCAATGCTGTCTGAAGAATCCCGGAACATGTTCCAGTCTGTGCTAGCAAAACAGTCCTGTAGCTTAGCATCTGCGTCATCTGACCACTTTTTTATTAGCCGAATCACTGGTGCTTCCTGCTTCAGTTTTTGCTTATAAGCAGGAATCAGGAGGATAGAGTTATGGTCAGATTTGCCAAATGGAGGGCGAGGGAGAGCTTTGTATGCGTCTCTGTGTGTGGAGTAAAGGTGGTCTAGAGTTTTTTCCCCTCTGGTTGCACATTTAACATGCTGGTAGAAATGAGGTAGAACGGATTTAAGTTTCCCTGCATTAAAGTCCCCGGCTACTAGGAGCGCTGCATCTGGATGAGCGTTTTCCTGTTGATTAATGGCCTTGTACAACTCATTCAGTGCAATCTTAATGCCAGCATTGGTTTGTGGTGGTAAATAGACAGCTATGAAAAATATAGATGAAAACTCTCTTGGTAAATAGTGTGGTCTACAGCTTATCATAAGATACTCTACCTCAGGCGAGCAAAACCTCGAGACTTCCTTAGTATTTGATTTTGTGCACCAGCTGTTGTTTACAAATATACACAGACCGCCGCCCCTTGTCTTACCGGAGGCAGCCGTTCTATCCTGCCGATGTAGCGTATAGCCTGCTAGCTGAATGTTGTCATTGTTGTCGTTCAGCCACGACTCCGTGAAACATAAGATATTGCAGTTTTTAATGTCCCGTTGGTAGGATAACCGTAATCTTAAATCGTCCATTTTATTCTCAAAAGCTTGAACGTTGGCTAATAGGATTGATGGGAGAGGCAGTTTACTCGTTCGCCGTCGGATCCTTACAAGGCACCCGGATCTGCGTCCACGATATCTCCGTCTCTTCCTCACGCGAATGACGGGGATCTGGGCCTTGTTTGGTGTCTGTAGAATATCCTTCGCGAACGCCTCGTTGAAGAAAAAGTCTTCGTCCAACGCGAGGTGAGTAATCGCTGTCCTGATATCCAGAAGCTCTCTTTGGTTATAAGAGACGATGGCAGAAACGTTATGTACAAAATAAATTACAAATAACGCGGAAAAACACACATAATAGTACAATTGGTTAGAGGGCTGTAAAACGGCAGCCATCTTCTTCCGGCGCTGTTCAATGTATCAATGTAAGCAGCTTGGTTTGAAGAAATCAACTCTGGGAGCAATTATTAGGAAATGGAAGACATACAAGACCACTGATAATCTCCTTCGATCTGGGGCTCCACGCAAGATCTCACCCCGTGGGGTCAAAATGATCACAAGAACGGTGAGCAAAAATCCCAGAACCACACGGGGGGACCTAGTGAATGACCTGCAGAGAGCTGGGACCAAAGTAACAAAGCCTACCATCAGTAACACACTACGCCGCCAGGGACTCAAATCCTGCAGTGCGAGACGTGTCCCCCTGCTTAAGCCAGTACATGTCCAGGCCCGTCTGAAGTTTGCTAGAGTGCATTTGGATGATCCAGAAGAGGATTGGGAGAATGTCATATGGTCAGATAAAACCAAAATAGAACTTTTTGGTAAAAACTCAACTCGTCGTGTTTGGAGGACAAAGAATGCTGAGTTGCATCCAAAGAACACCATACCTACTGTGAAGCATGGGGGTGGAAACATCATGCTTTGGGGCTGTTTTTCTGCAAAGGGACCAGGACGACTGATCCGTGTAAAGGAAAGAATGAATGGGGCCATGTATCGTGAGATTTTGAGTGAAAACCTCCTTCCATCAGCAAGGGCATTGAAGATGAAACGTGGCTGGGTCTTTCAGCATGACAATGATCCCAAACACACCGCCCGGGCAACGAAGGAGTGGCTTCGTAAGAAGCATTTCAAGGTCCTGGAGTGGCCTAGCCAGTCTCCAGATCTCAACCCCATAGAAAATCTTTGGAGGGAGTTGAAAGTCCGTGTTGCCCAGCGACAGCCCCAAAACATCAATGCTCTAGAGGAGATCTGCATGGAGGAATGGGCCAAAATACCAGCAACAGTGTGTGAAAACCTTGTGAAGACTTACAGAAAACGTTTGACCTGTGTCATTGCCAACAAAGGGTATATAACAAAGTATTGAGAAACTTTTGTTATTGACCAAATACTTATTTTCCACCATAATTTGTAAATAAATTCATTAAAAATCCTACAATGTGATTTTCTGTATTTTTTTCACTCATTTTGTCTGTCATAGTTAACGTGTACCTATGATGAAAATTACAGGCCTCTCTCATCTTTTTAAGTGGGAGAACTTGCACAATTGGTGGCTGACTAAATACTTTTTTCCCCTCTGTATTTGAATTATATTTTATATTTGAATTATGAATTAATGTTTTATGTACAGAAACAGTGACAGTTATAGGATCAGGAGAGAATTGGGCTCCGTCATCTGACTAGTGCTTAATACATTTAAAAAACACCATCTTGCAGAAACACTCACTGCATCCATCTTTTTTCTCCATCTATCCCTTCATCCCTTTGTCTCCTCCCTCTGTAGTGGGGCCAGAACATAAATGTGACGAGCTCACTGAGTTCTCCTGTAAGACCAACTACCAGTGTATCCCCACCTGGGCCGTGTGTGATGGCTCCAACGACTGCATCGACAACACCGACGAGCAGAACTGCGGTGTGTGTGAGAGAGTGTGTGCATGCTTGTGATATGATAAGGGCAGAGTTACATTGTCTGAATATGGATACAGAAAATGTATAGTAGGCTACCAATCATATTTCCGTAAGCTAAAGGGTCCTGCTTTTTCCTTCACATTCCACTTTTAAATGCTGGTCTTGTTCTGTTTTTATGCTTAGACACACAATAAAGGCCTTGAGTAGACTGAATTCTAGTCATTGATGGTTGACCAAGTAGTCCAAATCCCAAAATGCTGCTAGGCAGTCTACACTAAATAGTATCATTACATTTCACTAAGTAACTTCAAAACATTAACCTGACCCTGACCCATTCACAGAGGCGTTGACCTGTGACCCCCTGGGAGACTTCCGTTGTGACAACCACCGCTGTGTGCCCATCCGCTGGAAGTGTGACGGCAGCAACGACTGTGGTGACAGCTCTGATGAGAGGGACTGCGGTGAGTAGAGGTCAACTACATAACCATCTAATAAGGATCAACTCTGTATCCCTCAAATAGAATTCAACTCCATAACCATATAATACAGTTCATCTCCATAACCATCTAACAGGGTTCAACTCTGGATCGATTATGAATTGATAAAATGTTATGGTTCAAAGAAATGATGCAAAAAAGGTGGCAAACAAATCAGGTTGCTCAGCTGATTGGTTTACATACTGGCAATTGAGAAATGTTGTGACTTAAACTTAACAACAAAAAAATTAATATATTAACAAAACAAGATAAATGATATAAAAAACAACGGGAAAGACTTTGGAGCACCTTAAATTATATTATGGGCAGAAAACCCAATTTATCTCCATTGTTCATTGAAGTTGATGGATAATTTATAACAAAACCTTTTTCCAATCATTAGCAGACTGTGTTGGCACCCCTATTTGCCATGCCTTTAACCAAAGCCTAAAGGAGTGTGTGTCCACAGGCGTGGAAGGAAGCTAAAGTAATTCCACTACCTAAAAAATAGTAAAGCACCCTTTGCTGGCTCTAAAAGCCGCCCAATCAGTGTGCTGCATGTTCTTAGTAAACTAATGGAGAGAATTGTGTATGAACAAATATAATGCTATTTTTTAAAGAACAAGTTAACTACTGACTTTCAGCATGCATATAGGGAAGGGCACTCAACTTGTTCTGCACTGACTCAAATAAATGTATAATAAGATGATAGTTGGAGTTGTATTGTTAGAGTTCAGTGCAGCCTTTGATGTTACTAATCATAATTTGTTATTTAAAAAACTCACTTGTTATGGCTTTACATCACTTGCCATCACATGGTTGGAGAGTTACTTATAGAACTCAGAGAGTATGTACAGTGCGGTATCCCTCAGGGCAGCTGCCTTGGGACGTTACTCTTCTCTATTTTTACAAATGATTTGCCACTTATAGAGCATAAAATTAACTTTTTGGTCCACCAGCCACTGTGGCAGGTAGATAATAAAATCTACAAGCCACTCAGATTTTTACCAGCCCAAATATATATCCCTGCAAAAATTTTACCAACAAAACACAAAAAAACGGATGAGCATGGTTTGTAATGTTTCTAAAACAATTAATGTATTACTAGTAAGAAGTAATGTTAACCAAAATATCACAGACATGACAAAGAAATTCACCTGCCCCTTTAAGGATGGGAGGTTACCGTGGTAGCGCGACTCAAGTCATGCTTGTGCCTATGAGATTAAGTCTGACTAGTAGAAGCGTCATCTTCTCTTCCCTAGCAGTTCAAACTCCAACATAGAAAAATAACCTAGCATATAAACAAAACAATGTATATAGCCAAGAAACACAAGGACAAAATCTCACCTCAGTAGACTTTAGTTTCAAGTAAATTAGACCAACTTTTATGCCTGTGCGCAGCGCTTCAAAAAAAGAATGTGCACACAGCCCCCATCCAGGCAGTGTTGCAGCGCTAAAGTGGAATAGGCTATATATGATTCGTAGTTATTTTACTTTGTGCGATGAATTTACTAGCTACAGTGAGGGAAAAAAAGTATTTGATCCCCTGCTGATTTTGTACGTTTGCCCACTGACAAAGAAATGATTGACCTGTATAAAAGACACCTGTCCACAGAAGCAATCAATCAATCAGATTCCAAACTCTCCACCATGGCCAAGACCAAAGAGCTCTCCAAGGATGTCAGGGACAAGATTGTAGACCTACACAAGGCTGGAATGGGCTACAAGACCATCGCCAAGCAGCTTGGTGAGAAGGTGACAACAGTTGGTGCGATTATTCGCAAATGGAAGAAACACAAAAGACTGTCAATCTCTCGGCCTGGGGCTCCATGCAAGATCTCACCTCGTGGAGTTGCAATGATCATGAGAACAGTGAGGAATCAGCCCAGAACTACACGGTAGGATCTTGTCAATGATCTCAAGGCAGCTGGGACTATAGTCACCAAGAAAACAATTGGTAACACACTACGCCGTGAAGGACTGAAATCCTGCAGCGCCCGCAAGGTCCCCCTGCTCAAGAAAGCACATATACAGGCCCGTCTGAAGTTTGCCAATGAACATCTGAATGATTCAGAGGAGAAGTGGGTGAAAGTGTTGTGGTCAGATGAGACCAAAATTGAGCTCTTTGGCATCAACTCAACTCGCCATGTTTGGAGGAGGAGGAATGCTGCCTATGACTCCAAGAACACCATCCCCACCGTCAAACATGGAGGTGGAAACATAATGCTTTGGTGGTGTTTTTCTGCTAAGGGGACAGGACAACTTCACCGCATCAAAGGGACGATGGACGGCGCCATGTACCGTCAAATCTTGGGTGAGAATCTCCTTCCCTCAGCCAGGGCATTGAAAATGGGTCGTGGATGGGTATTCCAGCATGACAATGACCCAAAACACACGGCCAAGGCAACAAAGGAGTGGCTCAAGAAGAAGCACATTAAGGTCCTGGAGTGGCCTAGCCAGTCTCCAGACCTTAATCGCATAGAAAATCTGTGGAGGGAGCTGAAGGTTTTGAGTTGCCAAAAGTCAGCCTCGAAACCTTAATGACTTGGAGAAGATCTGCAAAGAGGAGTGGAACAAAATCCCTCCTGAGATGTGTGCAAACCTGGTGGCCAACTACAAGAAACGTCTGACCTCTGTGATTGCCCACAAGGGTTTTGCCACCAAGTACTAAGTCATGTTTTGCAGAGAGGTCAAATACTTATTTCCCTCATTAAAATGCAAATAAATTCATAACATTTTTGACATGCGTTTTTCTGGATGTTTTTGTTGTTATTCTGTCTCTCACTGTTCAAATAAACCTACCATTAAAATTATAGACTGATCATTTCTTTGTCAGTGGGCAAACGTACAAAATCAGCAGGGGATCAAATACTTTTTTCCCTCACTGTATGAAACAATACGGCAGAAATACTTTGAAAACAGCTACTGAAGCATTTATTTTACTATAAATGTGATCATACTCGACTATTTGTATTCACAAATGCGAGTGAAGTGCTCGCACTGTGGAGCCCTGACCACCCGCCAACGTGGCTGGTGAAATACACATTTTACCCGCCAATGGCAAAATCAACCGACATTTGGCAGGTGGTGGGTGTTAATTTTAGGCCCTTGCCACTTGTCTTACATGAAGCTAAAATGACTATGAATGCTGATGATTGCACACTCTACACATCAGCACCTACAGCCAGTGAGCTCACTGAGACTCTTAGCAAGGAGTTACAGTCAGTGTCAGAATGGTAATTAACAATAAACTGGTCTTAAATACATCTAAACCAAAAGCATTGTATTTGGTTCAAAGCATTCTCTTAGACCTAAACATTAATAGGACTTGTGCATAAATGGTGTGACCATTGAACAAGTTGAAGAAGCTGAACTCCTAGGAGTAACATTGGATGGTCAGTTATCATGGTCAAGTCATATTGACAAACTTATTGTGAAGATGAGGAGAGGTTATAAAAATATGTTATGTGTTTTTGACACAAAGATCAACTGTACTAGTTGTTCAGGCTTTGACCTTGTCCCATTTTGATTACTGTCTGGTAATATGGTCAGGTGCAGCAAAGAAAGACCTAGCAAAGCTGCAGTTGGCTCAAAACAAAGCATTACGCCTTGCCCTTAACTGCACATACATAACTAACATCAACAACATGCATGATAGTCTTTCATGGTTGCGGGTTGAGGCGGAATTGACTACTTCACTTCTTGTATTTTTAAGAAACATTTGTGTGTTGAAAATGCCTAACCACTTGTATAATATATTTGTCATACACTTCAAACAGACATACATACAGTTGAAGTCGGAAGTTTACATACACCTTAGCCAAATACGTTTGAACTCAGTTTTTCACAATTCCTGACATTTAATCCTAGTAAAAATTCCCTGTTTTAGGTCAGTTAGGATCACCACTTTATTTTAAGAATGTGAAATGTCAGAATAATAGTAGAGAGAATGATTTATTTAAGCTTTTATTACTTTCATCACATTCCCAGTGGGTAGGAAGTTTACATACACTCAATTAGTATTTGGTAGCATTGCCTTTAAATTGTTGAACTTGGGTCAAACGTTTCGGGTAGCCTTCCACAAGCTTCCCACAATACGTTGAGTGTATTTTGGCCCATTCCTCCTGACAGAGCTGGTGTAACTGAGTCAGGTTTGTAGGCCTCCTTGCTCGCACTCACCTTTTCAGTTCTGCCCACACATTTTCTATAGAATTGAGGTCCGGGCTTTGTGATGGCCACTCCAATACCTTGACTTTGTTGTCCTTAAGCCATTTTGCTTTGGAAGTATGCTTGGGGTCATTGTCCATTTGGAAGACCCATTTGCGACCAAGCTTTAACTTCCTGACTGATGTCTTGAGATGTTGCTTCAATATATCCACATAATTGTCCTTCCTCATGATGCCATCTATTTTGTGAAGTGCACCAGTCCCTCCTGCAGCAAAGCACCCCCAAAGCATGATGCTGCCACTCCCGTGCTTCACGGTTGGGTTGGTGTTCTTCAGCTTGCAAGACACCCCCTTTTTCCTCCAAACATAACGATGGTCATTATGGCCAAACAGTTCTATTTTTGTTTCATCAGACCAGAGTACATTTCTCCAAAAAGTACAATCTTTGTCCCCATGTGCAGTTGCAAACCGTAGTCTGGCATTTTTATTGCGGTTTTGGAGCAGTGGCTTCTTCCTTGCTGAGCGGCATTTCAGGTTATGTCGATATAGGACTCATTTTACTGTGGATATAGATGCTTTTGTACCTGTTTCCTCCAGCATCTTCACAAGGTCCTTTGCTGTTGTTCTGGGATTGATTTGCACTTTTCGCACGAAAGTACGTTAATCTCTAGGAGACAGAACGCGTCTCCTTCCTGAGCGGTATGACGGCTGCGTGGTCCCATGGTGTTTATACTTGCGCACTATTGTTTGTACAGATAAATGTGGTAGCTTCAGGCGTTTGGAAATTGCTCCCAAGGATGAACCAGACTTGTGGAGGTCTACAATGTTTTTTCTGAGGTCTTGGCTGATTTCTTTTGATTTTCCCATGATGTCAAGCAAAGAGGCACTGAGTTTGAAGGTAGGCCTTGAAATACATCCACTGGTACACCTCCAATTGACTCAAATGATGTCAATTAGCCTATCAGAAGCTTCTAAAGCCATGACATCATTTTCTGGAATTTTCCAAACTGTTTAAAGGCACAGTCAACTTAGTGTATGTAAACTTCTGACCAACTGGAATTGTGATACAGTGAATTATAAGTGAAATAATCTGTCTGTAAACAATTGTTGGAAAAATTACTTGTGTCATGCACAAAGAAGATGTCCTAACCGACTTGCCAAAACTATAGTTTGTTAAGAATACATTTGTGGAGTGGTTGAAAAACAAGGTTTAATGACTCCAACCTAGGTGTATGTAGACTTCTGACTTCAACTGTATATAACAGACTGACCCTAGCATAGATACTGGAGGCTGAGACAGGGGGGGGGGGGGGGTCGGGAGACACTGTGGCCTCGTCCGACGATACCCCCAGACAGGGCCAACCAGGCAGGATATAACCCCACCCACTTTGCCAAAGCACAGCCCCCAGACCACCAACCTACTACCCTGAGACAAGGCTGAGTATAGCCCACGAAGATCTCCTCCACTGTACGAGCCCAAGGGAGCGACAAACCGGACAGGAAGATCACGTCAGTGACTCAACACACTCAAGTGATGCACCTCTCTTAGGGACGGCATGGAAAGCACCAGTAAGCCAATGACTCAGCCCCCGTAAAAGGGTCAGAGGCAGAGAATCCCAATGGAGAGACAGGAACCAGCCAGGCAGAGACAGCAAGGGCGGTTTGTCGCTACAGTGCCTTTCCATTCACCTTCGCACCCCTTGGCCAGACTACACTCAATCATAGGACCTACTGAAGAGATGAGTCTTCGGTAAAGACTTAAAGGTCGAGACCGAGTCTGCGTCTCTCACATGGATAGGCAGACCATTCCATAAAAATGTTGCTCTATAGGAGAAAGCCCTGCCTCCTGCTGTTTGCTTAGAAATTCTAGGGACAATAAGGAGGCCTGCGTCTTGTGACCGTAGTGCATGTGTAGGTATGTACGGCAGGACCAAATCGGAGAGATAGGTAGGAGCAAGCCTATGTAACGCTTTGTAGGTTAGCAGTAAAACCTTGAAATCAGCCCTAGCCTTAACAGGAAGCCAGTGTAGAGAGGCTAGCACTGGAGTAATATGATCAACATTTTTGGTTCTAGTCAAGATTCTAGCAGCCGTGTTCAGCACTAACCAAAGTTTATTTAGTGCTTTATCTGGGTAGCCGGAGAGTAGAGCATTGCAGTAGTCTAATCTAGAAGTGACAAAAGCATGGATTAGCTTTTCTGCAACATTTTTGTACAAAATGTTTCTGAATTTTGCAATGATACGAAGATGGAAAAAAGCTGTCCTTGAAATAATCTTGATATGTTTGTCAAAAGAGAGATCAGGGTCCAGAGTAACGCTGAGGTCCTTCACAGTTTTATTTTAGACGACTGTACAACCATCAAGATTAATTGTCAGATCCAACAGAAGATCTCTTTGTTTCTTGGACCTAGAACTAGCATCTCTGTTTTGTCCGAGTTTAAAAATGTGCTGCCATCCACTTCCTTGTGTCTGAAACACATGCTTCCAGGGTCGGCAATTTTGGGGCTTCACCATGTTTCATCAAAATGTAGAGCTGTGTGTCGTCCGCATAGCAATGAAAGTTAACATTGTGTTTCCGAATGACATCACCAAGAGGTAAAATATATAGTGAAAACAATAGTGGTCCTAAAACAGAACCTTGAGGAACACCGAAGCTTACAATTGATTTGTCAGAGGACAAACCATCCACAGAGACAAACTGATATCTTTCCGACAGATAAGATCTAAACCAGGCAAGAACTTGTCCGCGTAGACCAATTAAGGTTTCCAATCTCTCCAAAATAATGTGGTGATCGATGGTGTCAAAGGCAGCACTAAGGTCTAGGAGCACGGGGACAGATGCAGAGCCTTGGTCTGATGCCATTAAAAGGTAATTTACCACCTTCACTAGTGTGGTCTCAGTGCTATGATGGGGTCTAAAACCAGACTGAAGCGTTTCGTATACATTTTTTGTCTTCAGGAAGGCAGTGAGTTGCTGCACAACTGCTTTTTCTAAAATGTTTGAGAGGAATGGGAGATTCGATATAGGCCAATTGTTTGTTTTTTTCATTTTCTGGGTCAAGGTTTGGCTTTTTCAAGAGAGGCTTTATTACTGCCACTTTTAGTGAGTTTGGTACACATCCAGTGGATAGGGAGCCATTTATTATGTTCAACATAGGAGGGCCAAGCACAGGAATTAGCTCTTTCAGTAGTGTAGTTGGAATAGGGTTCAGTATGCAGCTTGAATGTTTAGAGGCCATGACTATTTTCATGAATGTGTCAAGAGATATAGGATAAAAAAACTTGCGTGTCTCCATTGATCCTAGGTTCTGGCAGTTTTGTGCAGACTCAGGACAGCTGAGCTTTGGCGAAATACGCAGATTCAAAGAGGAGTCCGTAATTTGCTTTCTAATGATCATGATCTTTTCGTCGAAGAAGTTCATGAATTCATCACTGCTGAAGTGAAAGGCATCCTCTCTTGGGGAATGCTGCTTTTTAGTTAGCTTTGCGACAGTATCAAATATACATTTTGGATTGTTCTTATTCTCCTCAATTAGGTTGGAAAAATAGGATGATCGAGCAGCAGTGAGAGCTCTTCGATATTGCTCTGTACTCTCTTTCCAAGCTAGTAGGAAGACTTCCAGTTTGGTGGAGTGCCATTTCCGTTCCAATTTTCTGGAGGCTTGCTTCAGGGCTCGGGTATTTTCTGTATACCAGGGAGCTAGTTTCTTGTGACAAATGTTTTTTGTTTTTAGGGGTGCGACTGCATCTAGGGTATTTCACAGGGTTAAATTTAGATCCTCAGTTAGGTCGCTAACTGATTTTTGTACTCCGACGTCCTTGAGTAGGTGGAGGGAGTCTGGAAAGGCCTCTAGGAATCTTTGGGTTGTCTGAGAATTTATAGCATGGCTTTTGATGGTCCTTGGTTGGGTTCTGAGCAGATTATATGTTGTGATTGCAAACGTTATAAGATGGTGGTCCGATAGTCCAGGGTTATGAGGAAAAACATTTAGACCACAATATTTATTCCACGGGACAAAACTAAATACTAGATATATGCTAAATGGCATATTATTATTATATTATTATGACTGTGGCAATGAGTAGTTCCGGAGACATGTTGGACAAAATAATATTATCTGCCATGACTACAAGGTCCGATAGGAATTCAGGGAACTCAATGAGGAATTCTGTAAACGGCCCAGGAGGACTGTAAACAGTAGCTATAAAAAGGGATTGAGTAGGCTGCATAGATTTCATGACTAGAAGCTCAAAAGATGAAAATGGACTTTTGCTATCGTAAATGTTAGCAACACCTCCGCCTTTGCGGGATGCGCGGGGGCATATGGTCACTAGTGTAACCAGAAGGAGAGGCCTCATTTAACACAGTGAATTCATCAGGTTTAAGCCATATTTCAGTCAGGCCAATCACATCAAGATTATGATCAGTGATTTAGTTCATTGACCATAACTGCCTTGGAAGTGAGGGATCTAACATTAAGTAGCCCTATTTTTAGATGTGAGATCACAATCTGTTTCAATAATGATAGGAATGGAGGAGGTCTTTATTCCAGTGAGATTGCTAAGGTGAACACCGCCATGTTTAGTTTTGCTCAACCTAGATCTAGGCACAGACACTGTCTCAATGGGGATAGCTGAGCTGACTACACTGTCTGTGCTAGTTGCAGACTCCGCTAAGCTGGCAGGCTGGCTAAAAGCCTGCTGCCTGGCCTGCACCCTATCTCATCGTGGAGCTAGAGGAGTTAGAGCCGTCTCTATGTTGGTAGATAAGATGAGAGCACCCCTCCAGCTAGGATGGAGTCCTTCACTCCTCAGCATGCCAGGCTTGGTCCTGTTTGTGGGTGAGTCCCAGAATGAGGGCCAATTATCTACAAATTCTATTTTTTGGGAGGTGCAGAAAACAGTTTTCAAACAGCGATTGAGTTGTGAGACTCTGCTGTAGAGCTCATCACTCGCCCTAACTGGGAGGGGGCCAGAGAAAATTACTCGATGCCGACACATCTTTCAAGCTAATTTACACGCTGAAGCTATGTTGCTATTGGTGACCTCTGACTGTTTCATCCTAACATCGTTGGTGCCAACGTGGATAACAATATCCCTATACTCTCTACACTCACCAGTTTTTCTTCAGATTAGCCTTTACGTCGGTAGCCCTGCCCCCTGGTAAACAGTGTATGTTCGCTGGATCACCTCCGTAACCATATAATTCTTCAATATAGAGTGTAAAGAGACAAATAGTGAAGAGTTCCTGTGTCTGCGTGTGTGTGTGTTCATTCATAGTGCCAAGGCCGTGCTCGGAGAGCGAGTATCGCTGTGACAACCAGCAGTGCATACCTGGAAACTGGGTTTGTGACCATGACAACGACTGTGGGGACAACTCAGATGAGCGCGACTGTGGTGAGATGGACGACTATCTCTCCTCTCCTCTCTCTACTCCCACTTTCTCGCTCTCTTTTCTCTCATTCTACATGTCTCTCGCTCTCTCACACACACACACACACACACACACACACACACACACACACACACACACACACACACATATTCACCTGGTCACTCTACCTTCCTCTCACACAGAGTTGCAGACGTGTCGTCCTGGGTATTTCCAGTGTCTGTCGGGTCACTGTATCCCCGCCGCTCTTAAATGCGACGGACGACCAGACTGCCTGGACATCTCTGACGAGAGCTCCTGTCGTAAGTCTCTACAAGAGGAACTGTTTCAGTTAGCGAGCCATTTCGCTACCCCAATGCTAGCCGTTTCGCTAATTTGTTTAACCATTGCTAGCCATTTCAATACACCTTTACCAGCCATTTTGCTGTACCAATGCTAGCCATTTTGCCACACCTGTACTAGCCATTTCACTGCTCCAACACTAGCCATTTCACTACACCAATGCTAGCCATTTCGCTATAAAAAAGTTGTGCAAATACATCTCTCACTCCCTACTTTTTCTCCAAACCATAGCGACCCGTTACCCAGGGGGCCGCTGGTGTCCCAACCACCAGTTCCAGTGTGCGAACAAGCTGTGTGTGTATGAGAACTGGGTGTGTGACGGCAACAACGACTGTGGAGACCGTTCCGATGAGGAGCTCATATTATGTTGTAAGACACACACACACACACACATGCAAGTGCTCACACACACACACACACACACACTCTCTCTAACATGATGGCATTCATTTGGTTATGTTGTCTTCTGGTCTCCTTTTCATGGCAGACTACTTAAAGGGCAATTCCACCACTTTTCAACTGCATATTCATTATCTCCATCATAATACCAGTGTCTACATAATATGTACATATAATGTAAAAACGGCACGTTTCTACTTTCTTTGGTTAAAAATATAAGAAGAAAGGACCTTAAGTCCTACTCTGACATCATCGAGTAGGATTAAAAGTTTTTAACAGTAATTTTCTAAACCTGCAATGAGTTTTTAGCCAGGGGAAGGGCATTTTCTTGCTCCCCTTGTCATTGTGAATCTCATAGTGTTTTAAAATCACTGTTTTTAAAATGTTTATAACATCATCAAATTGCACTTTTATTTTTTTAATACAAACTTTAGAAATGTGCCACTTTCACATATGAGAGATAATGAATATAAGGTTGAAAGTGGTGGAATTGACCTTTAACATATCCATTTTTAACAATACTTTCATTATAATTCCACTTATCACAATCCATGGGATAAGAAGTTTAATACAAGTGTGACTTGCCTTTAAACATTGGAAAAATTCAGAAAATTTTCACAATTATGTGTTACACTTAGTGTCTTCCTGGGGTTGTCCCTGCTACGATAGACTGTGGTATACCAGCTTTTCGAGGGAATTTTGTTGTAACCAGTGCTCACATGCATGCAAGCATTAATCCACTGTTAACATGTGGATATTGGTAGGTCGGTTCCTTTCATGCACACTAAGCGCATCCTTCACTGCATATCATTATCTCCATCATCAGTCATAAATCGGAATTAATAAACGGCACGTTGATATTTACTGTTTTCAAACATCAAAGATATGTAACCAAACTTAGTCTACTCATCGTTAGGCATTATTTTATAACAGTAATTTTTCAAACTTTGCAAGATTATTTAGCCAGGGAAGGCATTTCTTGCTCCCCATGTCATGTGAATCAGTTTTAAAAATCACTGTGTCTTTAAAAGTTTGAAAATTCAAAATTGTTCTTATTTGATTCATTTAGAAATGTGCCACTTTCACATGTCGGTTTGCAGCATCAAGGTGATAGTGGAGAATTGACCTTAATAAACATATAGGTTTCACAGAAGTTAATTAGTTTACCTTCTTGTGTTGGGGGTTTCTAGCAAGTGGTAGGTTAGATTCTCGGCTGTTTGGCCATTTGGGATTCAGTTGGCTGTCCACATGTCCGCCAGCTCCAATCCCCCTGTTCGAAGGCTATGATCATGCTCGCCAAGCTATGCCGGGAAGCTGGGTCGCTGGATGAAACGTGCAGTACGGAAGTCGAACTTAGTAGATCACTAGTTGGTTTAAAACTTTTTTTCAAACATCCACATTCTTGTTAACAAAATTTGGCAAGTCGGTTAGGCACATTTATCTGTCATGACACAAGTAATTTTTCCAACAATTGTTTAGACAGATTATTTCACTTATAATTCACTGTATCACAATTCCAGTGGGTCAGAAGTTTACATACACTAAATTGACTGTGCCTTTAAACAGCTTGGAAAATTCAAAAAAATGATGTCATCACTTGAGTGTGTTGAGTCACTGACGTGATCTTCCTGTCCGGTTTGTCGCCCCCTCGGGCTCGTGCAGTGGAGGAGATCTTCGTGGGCTATACTCAGCCTTGTCTCAGGGTAGTAGGTTGGTAGTCTGTTGATATCCCTCTGGTGGTGTGGGGGCTGTGCTTTGGCAAGGTGGGTGGGGTTATATCCTGCCTGGTTGGCCCTGTCTGGGGGTATCGTCGGACGGGGCCACAGTGTTTCCTGACCCCCCCCCCCGTCTCAGCCTCCAGTATCTATGCTGCAATAGTCTATGTGCCGGGGGACTAGGGTCAGTCTGTTATATACAGTTGAAGTCGGAAGTTTACATACACCTAGGTTGGAGTCATTAAACCTCGTTTTTCAACCACTCCACAAATTTCTTGTTAACAAACTATAGTTTTGGCAAGTCGGTTAGGACATATTTTTTGTGCATGACACAAGTAATTTTTCCAACAATTGTTTACAGACAGATTATTTCACTTATAATTCACTGTATCACAATTCCAGTGGGTCAGAAGTTTACATACACTAAATTGACTGTGCCTTTAAACAGCTTGGAAAATTCCAAAAAATGATGTCATCACTTGAGTGTGTTGAGTCACTGACGTGATCTTCCTGTCCGGTTTGTCGCCCCCTCGGGCTCGTGCAGTGGAGGAGATCTTTGTGGGCTATACTCAGCCTTGTCTCAGGGTAGTAGGTTGGTAGTCTGTTGATATCCCTCTGGTGGTGTGGGGGCTGTGCTTTGGCAAGGTGGGTGGGGTTATATCCTGCCTGGTTGGCCCTGTCTGGGGGTATCGTCGGACGGGGCCACAGTGTTTCCTGACCCCCCCCCCCTGTCTCAGCCTCCAGTATCTATGCTGCAATAGTCTATGTGCCGGGGGACTAGGGTCAGTCTGTTATATACAGTTGAAGTCGGAAGTTTACATACACCTAGGTTGGAGTCATTAAACCTTGTTTTTCAACCACTCCACAAATTTCTTGTTAACAAACTATAGTTTTGGCAAGTCGGTTAGGACATATTTTTTGTGCATGACACAAGTAATTTTTCCAACAATTGTTTACAGACAGATTATTTCACTTATAATTCACTGTATCACAATTCCAGTGGATCAGAAGTTTACATACACTAAATTGACTGTGCCTTTAAACAGCTTGGAAAATTCCAAAAAATGATGTCATCACTTGAGTGTGTTGAGTCACTGACGTGATCTTCCTGTCCGGTTTGTCGCCCCCTCGGGCTCGTGCAGTGGAGGAGATCTTCGTGGGCTATACTCAGCCTTGTCTCAGGGTAGTAGGTTGGTAGTCTGTTGATATCCCTCTGGTGGTGTGGGGGCTGTGCTTTGGCAAGGTGGGTGGGGTTATATCCTGCCTGGTTGGCCCTGTCTGGGGGTATCGTCGGACGGGGCCACAGTGTTTCCTGACCCCCCCCCCCCTGTCTCAGCCTCCAGTATCTATGCTGCAATAGTCTATGTGCCGGGGGACTAGGGTCAGTCTGTTATATACAGTTGAAGTCGGAAGTTTACATACACCTAGGTTGGAGTCATTAAACCTTGTTTTTCAACCACTCCACAAATTTCTTGTTAACAAACTATAGTTTTGGCAAGTCGGTTAGGACATATTTTTTGTGCATGACACAAGTAATTTTTCCAACAATTGTTTACAGACAGATTATTTCACTTATAATTCACTGTATCACAATTCCAGTGGATCAGAAGTTTACATACACTAAATTGACTGTGCCTTTAAACAGCTTGGAAAATTCCAAAAAATGATGTCATCACTTGAGTGTGTTGAGTCACTGACGTGATCTTCCTGTCCGGTTTGTCGCCCCCTCGGGCTCGTGCAGTGGAGGAGATCTTCGTGGGCTATACTCAGCCTTGTCTCAGGGTAGTAGGTTGGTAGTCTGTTGATATCCCTCTGGTGGTGTGGGGGCTGTGCTTTGGCAAGGTGGGTGGGGTTATATCCTGCCTGGTTGGCCCTGTCTGGGGGTATCGTCGGACGGGGCCACAGTGTTTCCTGACCCCCCCCCCCCTGTCTCAGCCTCCAGTATCTATGCTGCAATAGTCTATGTGCCGGGGGACTAGGGTCAGTCTGTTATATACAGTTGAAGTCGGAAGTTTACATACACCTAGGTTGGAGTCATTAAACCTTGTTTTTCAACCACTCCACAAATTTCTTGTTAACAAACTATAGTTTTGGCAAGTCGGTTAGGACATATTTTTTGTGCATGACACAAGTAATTTTTCCAACAATTGTTTACAGACAGATTATTTCACTTATAATTCACTGTATCACAATTCCAGTGGATCAGAAGTTTACATACACTAAATTGACTGTGCCTTTAAACAGCTTGGAAAATTCCAAAAAATGATGTCATCACTTGAGTGTGTTGAGTCACTGACGTGATCTTCCTGTCCGGTTTGTCGCCCCCTCGGGCTCGTGCAGTGGAGGAGATCTTCGTGGGCTATACTCAGCCTTGTCTCAGGGTAGTAGGTTGGTAGTCTGTTGATATCCCTCTGGTGGTGTGGGGGCTGTGCTTTGGCAAGGTGGGTGGGGTTATATCCTGCCTGGTTGGCCCTGTCTGGGGGTATCGTCGGACGGGGCCACAGTGTTTCCTGACCCCCCCCCCCCCCCCCCCCCCCCCCCCCCGTCTCAGCCTCCAGTATCTATGCTGCAATAGTCTATGTGCCGGGGGACTAGGGTCAGTCTGTTATATACAGTTGAAGTCGGAAGTTTACATACACCTAGGTTGGAGTCATTAAACCTCGTTTTTCAACCACTCCACAAATTTCTTGTTAACAAACTATCGTTTTGGCAAGTCGGTTAGGACATCTTCTTTGTGCATGACACAAGTAATTTTTCCAACAATTGTTTACAGACAGATTATTTCACTTATAATTCACTGTATCACAATTCCAGTGGGTCAGTAGTTTACATACACCAAATTGACTGTGCCTTTAAACAGCTTGGAAAATTCAAAAAAATGATGTCATCACTTGAGTGTGTTGAGTCACTGACGTGATCTTCCTGTCCGGTTTGTCGCCCCCTCGGGCTCGTGCAGTGGAGGAGATCTTCGTGGGCTATACTCAGCCTTGTCTCAGGGTAGTAGGTTGGTGGTCTGTTGATATCCCTCTGGTGGTGTGGGGGCTGTGCTTTGGCAAGGTGGGTGGGGTTATATCCAATAGTCTATGTGCCGGGGGGAAAATTCCAGAAAATGATTAGGCTTTAGAAGCTTCTGATAGGCTAATTGACATCATTTGAGTCAATTGGAGGTGTACCTG